GGTTTTCCCCGATCCTGGAGACCCTAACAGCAGAGTCATCCTTGAAGAAAAAAGAAAAAAAACAATTGTTATAAATTCAGTTAAGCTGATAAACTGCAGCATGCATGTAATGAACAAGATCGAGTGTAATCATTTAGCAACATGTCTTACGCAATAAATCAACACACGTAAGTTATTTAGAAAGTCAAATTCTCATCACAATGCAGTGCACATGCAAGTAGTCTAGATACAAAATTAAACCTGCGTGGCCTGAAGATGGCACTGGTTTTATGCAGAATGGTATACTTGGTCTTCCAATTGCTGGGTAGCATATGCAGAGTGTCCGCAACGTCCTTCCAATGCAATAAACAACAGTTAAAACAGCACAGATTTAGCAATATATAAACATAAATCACACCACTTCTGGTTTAAGCGCTTGCATAAGTTCCTTTTCTCTTCTTTTTTTAATCAACAAAAATATGTATGTAATACCAGGGCTGTGTTGGTCATGGAGTTGAAGATGTTGGGTGCCGCCGCCTGTCCCTGTCCTCTGGCGGCATAGGCCTCCGCCTCCACCTCCACATCCTCGGCGCGCACCTCCACCGTCGGAAGCTCCATGCCGACGCTATCAATAAGAAGAGATATATATGATATATACCTGATGATGCAATAATAAGATGTATATATATATGCATATATGGTACATGCACGGTATATATGGCAAAGCAAGCTCGCACCGTACCGGTCGAATCGGTCCTTGATCTTGAGCAGGAAGCGCTCGTGGTCGTTGCTGGTTACTCCGACCAACCGCTCCACGAGAAGCTTGGACTGATTGGCTTCAGCCTCCGCTGTTGTGGCTGCTGCGGCGGCGGCGGCCTTCTGCTCCGCCATGGCGACGACCAGTGCTCCGCCGGGGGTCGGCCGTCGAAATTATACTTAGGCGACGACTAGTTGTGTTTTGTATGATTATATTATCTAGAAGATATTAATAGGTATATATGACGAATTTTATATAATCTTCCTCTTAATATAAATAAAAAATATTAAGTTATACTACTAATCTTTGTTGTTGTCAAACATTGGGGGGCATGGCCCCTGCCAGCCCCCTGGCTCCGCCAGTGGCGACGACGCGGACGACAATCAGTGTAGCAGGTAGTAGTTGTGCTCTCTCGGCTAGCTCTGGTCCGGCATTTTGGTCATTATATACACACAAGCTGCAAAGATGCGAATCATACATGACTGTTCGTTCCGTCAGCGCGGCCAATTGTATATGTTTACATGCAAAAAACATTGGTTTTAGTTAACTGCTTTTATTTTATTCAGTTTTAGTTTGGATATTCTTCTCCTAAATGCGCAGAGTCAACGTTTCAAGAGTTTTTGTCTTTTAGTGTGTGCGCGTCAGGGACCATTATTCTTTTATTTATATTGTGCATCAGGGACAGGGACCATTCTTATGCTCATGCATGCATGCTACTACTTTTCAACTAAAAAAAACTCTCTTTTCACGTGCATTGAGAAAACAGTGGTTAGAAGGTTCTAAATAGTAATTGGCACTGTTAATCCAAAACTTTGTTAGATGATGTTAACTTGAATTGTTCTAGCATGCAGAGAGAGCAGTGTTAGCTGTACTCCATCCATTCCATATTGTAAGTTGATTTAGATGTTTCCTAGTTTAGGCTACAAGCCCTACGTCCAACAACTATTTTCTTCATGTTAGAATGCCCATTCAAGTTGTTGCAATGTGAGGGAGAGATGGAGCAGAGCGCTACCTAAGTGATCTAGGGTTCTCGGTGAATCTGAGGTCTGATCTCGATTGACTAATGCTCCATGAAAGGTCCTGAACCCTCCCCCGCCGCCCATCCAAGCCCGTCCTAGGAGTGATCTCCAATCCCCCACCGCCCATTGGGGACTGAGGTTCGTTTGCTCACCGCATGATTCTCCGCCCGAGGAGCGGAGTCTACCTATGCAGGAGGGAAACATCCCCGTGCGGGTCTTTTCGTTGAAGAAGTTCCCGCATTGTGTTTTTCGTGGTAGTGACTGCGATGCGGTACAGTGTTGCCTCAGTAGTACGGTGATGGGTCTCGCATGGCGTTAGCCTTCTCGGTGGGGTGTTGTTTGCTTCCTTTGATATCTAATGTTATAGAGTGACGATTGGGGTTTTCTGAGACTACATGTGTGTGACCTAAAGGTGATAGTGACTTGGTGTGGCAACATGACTTGGCCCTTGATTAACAGTGACTAGCTTGGCGATTTGCTTGATGGAGAGAAGGGTTTCAATTCGAGCGAGAGTTGCAGGTGGTCAACGGATGCTGGATTGTGGTTGTACAGTGCCTATCCGTGCATTCCTTCTTTTTAATATAGCGGGAGCAGCTCTCATGTCGGTTCGTTTAAAAAAACGGATGCTGGAAGTGATATGTTGTTGCTGTGGTTGGCGCTGGCGTAGAGTTTATGGTTTGTTTTTATGGTTGCTGAGGCGTATGGGTGTTACTACAACCATATGATAGACATGTGCAGTTTTCTTAAGAATTTTTTTTTCGCAACCGAGGAATATAACCCTTTTTTATTAAGAGGAGTGAATTATATGACGCAACTATAAGAGAACCCTCATAGCACAGATTACAAACTATAAAGTCAGTGGTGAGTGACCTAGAATAGACATAGGAAAAAGAAAAAGAAGAAAGAAAGAGCGGCTGCCTAATGAGATCTTAACATATGGGTATGTTAAGCCTCGGAATCTATGGTTTCCGGCCGAAGATACCCCCAACCGACCCTCCAGGATCGCTTGGGGGCTCGGGGACTATACCCATCGGACATGCTTGCGCGCACCCTCAGACTAAGGAACTTGCCCGAGCCTGAGCACGCCAAGGCCTCTGCTCAGGGCTCAGGGGCTAGCCCGAGCCTCAGGCTCCCGATTGGCAGGGAACCTAAGCCCAATCCTTGGCTTCTGCCCTCGGCCTATGACGCCAACCAAGGCTCGGACACTAGAAGACACATCCCGAGCCATCGAGGCTCGGCGGGCCCTCGACGTAGAATCTTGGGCGTGGCCTTGCCGGCTGCTCCTCGACAAGATCACGCACGGGGCGTGACACAAGAAGACAAGCTCTCCTCGACCTCTGGGGGCTCGGGAGCCTCTAGGCCCACGCGTTAGCCCCTCGAGCCGACCTCCCTCGCCACCGAGAAGACTCCAGAAGGTGCGCCTCGGGGAGGCCGATCCAAGCCGACGACACAGCCTGACACTCAATGTGTCAGAACAGGCCAGCCGAACAACGCCCAAGGCTTCTTTGGCTCCACGACATCGCCACGGTCCACATAGCGCCGCTGCAAGACCCTCCTGGACTCCGACGCATGTAGACCATAGGCTCAACCCCCCAAACCACCATGTACCCAACCTATCTCGATATATAAGGGGTAACATCGGATCCTAGAGGGAGGAGAATGATCCTAGATAGATCATTCTATTCCTCATCGATCCGCTTCTGCTCAGCACCGAGAGCAGGGTAACCCAGAGAGGGGCATCAAGAGCTCCTCCACCGCACCCGTCGTCTTCCTCCTCTCCGATGAGGGAAAGGCTCCATAGGCGGCAAGGCAACCTCAGGATTAACACCGAACTAACCCCTTACCAAATCTCTCTTCCTCCTGTACACTATTGTAAACCCTCGATTTTGGGTGCTCTTTAGTAAGGATCATCAGCTCATCGATCAGCCCGAACCAGGATAAACCGTTGCGTCTTCTCTGTGATTCTCGTGTTCTTGAGTCCACCCGAGCCACCGGAGACACGTACTCTGCCACCAACTCGAACAACAATGCTTGCCGCGGTTCCGACCCCGCGACACCGCCCTCGACACCTAAGACCTATAACTGAGCCTGCAATAAAAGAATCAACACAAAGGTTGCCTCCAAGATAGACAAAGCCGTGGTGGCAAAGCATCCATCCAGAGAAAGCACAGGAGCATCCAGTAGCAACGGCGGCAAAGCATCCGCAAGTGAAAGACCAAGCGACCATGACGGCCAAGTATCTTCCAAGAAGTGAGCCCGCACACTCTCGACATCAAAACATCTACCAGAGAGGAGACCAAAGAGCCAACGACAACAAAGTATCCGCCAAGGATTCCACCGGCGGCCAAGTCACCACCGGGGAAGAGACAAAGATGTCCCCTACAGCAAAGTATCCACAGAGAGAGTGGCTATCACACTCTCAACAGCAAAGCATCTACTAGAGAGAAGACCAACGACAACAGATAGCGGCGGCAGAACATCCACTATGAAAGCAAAGTATGATAGCGACAGAACATCCACTATGAAAGCGATGCAACTTCAGAAAAAATATGATATGAACTCCCATCGTTTTACATCAAATCTTCCAAGTTCAGGAATGGGCTGTCTTTGACACCCATAAGGCCTATCAAGAAGCTTACCCCAAAAAAAAAACCTGGATCTCTAACCTTCCTGATACTTGGGCTTAGCTTTAAGGTCATTTTTTGTAACAATTCCTGTTACTTGGGCTTAGTTTTAAGATTCTTATTTCGCAACAATTCGTGTGAAATAAGTTCGAGCGATCATTGCACAAAATCAAACACTTGTGCTATTGTTCAAGTTGTTAATAGTCAGTGATTGTTTGTTGTTTTCGACTAAATGGTTGTGCGCTAAAAGTTTCAGCAGTCGGTCTTCATGCTTTGAGGTGTTGGGTCTTTGTATCCTAGTAGTCGGCTGATTTTTTAGCCCGGTTTCAAACAGGAAAAACTGAACCGTATATCACTGCAACACGATGAAGATGGCAACTAATCCTACGATGGCATCTCTGGAAACTTAGTGCAAAGATAATCACACTTGCTTTCACACTGGTTTATTCCTGATTAGTAATTAATTAAAGCAGAAGAGTTGACGGGCACTCTCTGCACCGAACAAACTCAAAACACGAGTCGAGAGTCATCCAGACTGTTCGCTCGTTCGATTCAGCCAGGAACTTATAATCAGTCAACAGCAACCAAGCTTATAACTCAGAAATCAACCAACGAAAAGACCTAAGATAAAAAAAAAAAGTCATACTGCTTCTGGTCCTGGAGCAGGGGCGGCGCGACGTCGACCCTAGCGACGCCATCCCTGCTCTCGGCGACCTTAGCCACCTCCACCTCCCCGACGATCACCTCCCTAGCCACCTCCTCGTCCGCTTCCCCTCCCTCTTCCCCCTCCTCGTAGTTGGGGTCGTTGGGGTCGATGGCGGGCGGCGCGGGGTCGAGCTGGCCCTCGACGACGCCGCCGGGGCCTTCCCAGGTGAACTTGCCGCCGCGCCCGGACTTGGGAGGCGGCGCGCCGATGCCCACGCCGCGAGGCGCGTTCGCCGGGTGCCGCTCGAAGCGGTTGAAGCCCTGCTGCTCCAGCTTCCGCTCGAAGTGCTTCACCGTGTCCGGGCGCCGCGTCTCCGGGATCGGCATCTTCTCCGTCACCTTCTTGCCCTCCTCGTCCCGGTGCGTCACGCTCATGTACGCCGCCATTGTCGGTGCTGCTCTCGGCTTGCTGCTGATGAGAGATCGCGCGCGGTGTGTCTGTGGAAGAGACGAGGATCGATTCGATGAGATGAGATGGTGTGTGCTGAACTGAACTGCTGTGCCAGAAGGAGCGCGGACATTTATAGGGGAGGTGAGCGGTGGAGGAGCGCGGGAGGAGTCTAGAACGTGAGCGAAGGTGCCAGAAGAAGACGGTGACATCTAGAGCACACGTCACGAGTCACGACGCCACGGCTCTCGGCTGGATTGGAATGAAATGGAAATATCCATCTGCCCGCGTGACGCGGCGCGTACCGCATACGCACACTGCACATATGCTCGCGTGGCGACCGCTGATTGGCGCCATCAGGTGTCCCAAACTCTTTTTTTTCCTGTTGAAAGGGCTCCTGTACAAGTGCAATTGCAGCTAGAGGATCTTCAATAGTTCAAAAAAAAAACCTAATGTCGTTTCAAAAAAAAAACCTAATGGGTTGCTTTTTATGTGAAACTCGCTCTTAAAAAAGAATCTCATTTTTTATGAGGCTAAATAAAATTAAAAATATATTTGTTGGACGTGGCTAGCGTCCGGACGTCCGAACAAACGCACGCGTCCAGATGTCTGGACGGACGCGCGCGTCTGGACGCCCACGTAGCCCGCCTCCGTCCGCCGCGCTCCGACTCACACGCACACTCGACCATCGAAGCTGCGCCCACCGCTCCTCGCATCTAGGACAGTAGGACGACTGCGCAGCCTACTCTCGTCCGTCTTGCCCTCGCCTCGCATGCGCATCTTGCCCCCGTTGCTGCTCCTGCTGCTCCTCCCCCCCTGACCCTCTCCTCTCTCTCTGCATGGGCGGGACCTGGGAGCTAGCCCCTAGCTCACTGCGCCCATCCTACGGCGCCCGGGCCGTGCGCCTATCATTCACGTGCCCTCGTAAAACACTTGCAATATGAAACACTTGATGCACCATACGTCTAACATAGATTAAACATTTGAAACATAATGTTGCAACATATGCGTAAAACATACGTAACATTCATATAAAACACTTGCAACATGTGCGTGAAACATACGCAACATCTAGATAAAACACATGCAACATGTGTGTGAAACATATGCAAATCCAGATAAAACACTTGCTGCAACATACGTCTGAAACAGATGAATCATTTTGAACAAACATTTGCAATTTACCTCTGAAACACTTGCAAAATATGCAACATGTGCAATATCCCGATCTACTTTTGCAACATCCATATGTAATAATTGCAACATACCTCTGAAACATTTGAAACACTTGAAATACATTTGCAACATAGGGGAGGGGAAGGCCGGGGCTGGTCGATTCCGATCGTCAGGGTGGGATCCGGCGGTGAGCGGCGGCGGGCAAGCACCACCACTAGCAGTAGCTACGGCCTTGGCTCAGCCGGTCGGGCAGCGTGCGCCACGGAGGGAGGCCGTAGCAGCAAGCAGACTGAGGCGTGTGGCAACCGGATGGAACTGATGCCCATGATATTGTGATGTTGTTTAACTGTTTTTAAAATCTCGCTCCTGAAAGAGAATCTCGGACTAAGAGTTGGTGAAAAGTATACGTCCTAGAGTTTGGTAAGCGTCCACGCAACAAACAGACTACGATTAAGATTTCTTCTTCTCCTCTTTCTTTATTCCAAAGTCTGGTATGTTTTACGACAGTTTTTTCCTATTTTGCCAAAAAAAATCAAGACTGTTGAAAACTCTTTAGCACATGCTCAAAGCGCTCAGTTAAAAAAAAGCATGTTCAGCGCTCCCTCATACAAACTTCCCCGATAAATTGGTAATAGGGTAGCGTAATATCATCACTTTTTGAATTCAAATAATCATGCTCTGTCGACCACCTCCTCGCACCACGCTGTCCAGCAACGACAAGAGGACCGTGAGAGTCAACAGAAGGCAGCGGCCATGGCTTATGCCCAGCCGCACCAAGGCGCCGGTGGCCAACGAATTGGACAGAGGCACACCGATGGGCTTCCGTGTTCTTGAGCTCGGGGCCGACGGCTTGGATGGAAGCGGCGCTTGGGTCCCGTTCGTTTCGCTAAAAAAAAGCCGAAATACTGTTTCGGCTGAAGAAAAATAATGTTTCGGCTGAAAAAACAAACCGAAAAAACGGATTATAAGAGAAGCGAACAGGGCCTAGGGGCAGAGGCACACCAATGGGCTTCCACTTCTGGAGCTCGGGGGCGATGTCTTGGATGGAAGTGGTGGCCATGGCTCACATCCAGCCGCAGCAAGACGCTGGTGGCCAACGGCTCGGACAGAAGCACACCGATGGGTTTTCGTTTTCTGGAGCTCAGGGCCGGTGGCTATGGCTTGGACAAAGACGGCGGCGATGGCTCAAATAGGAAAGAAGGAACAATTATTGTGGGACCTGTGCTATTAGAAAAGATGCAAGTTCTCTTTGGGCACGTTTGGTTTCTCAGGGAATCTTGGCTAGCCTTACCAGCACGGAATCCAACAAACTCACCCAACCGAGCGAGCTGAATTCACTCTCTGGCTCTGGCAAGATTTTGCTTCCTCCTAGGCCACTCGCCCCTCACCAAACGTGTGTCTCTCTTGCGATTCCTCACTAGGTAAGGCAAGGTGAGATTCGACCGAGGATCCAAACGCACCCTTTGAGGACAGCACCACTGCAAACTATCAAAACAATATGCCTGAGCTAAAGGTATAACGATAATGCTTGTGTCGTGCGTTCGGACGCATCGGACGGTGAGCGGACCCACAAGCAAGGCTCTCACAAGCAAGCTCGGATGCCTCCGTCCTTAAGCTTACTTTATTATTCAGATTTACTTAAATGCAGTTGCTTGATATTTTGTTTTCTTATCAATCAATTTTCACAGAACATCACATGTATACTGCCGGAACATCACAAAATGCATCACAGAACATTATAAAATACATCACAAAACATCACATGTATTTTAGCAGCCGCCTAAGAACATCATAGAACATCACAGGTGTATCACCTGAATATCACAAAAAATATCATAGAACATCACATATATACTACATGAACATCATAACATTATAGAACATCATGTACTACGTGAACATTACATGTATATTACGTGAACATCAGAAAATACATCACAGAACATGACTGATGGTTAAGCAAACCATCAGTCACTTGCCACAGAGACAGGCCCTTTATTATTTCTCTCCTACCTTATCTTCTCATCTCACTTTTTCACCACCAGCCACCCTCGCTGTATGGCGTCGCAGATGGTCAAGGCATGCACACCGTCGTTCGTCGTTGCTGAGTGGTTTCTTGGCTTCCCACACGGCGAGCTGTGGCTGCCTTCCTCAGCTGGTGTGGCTGAGTGAGCTCCGCTCCGCCCCGACCCATGGTCGTATGCACTAGAGCTCCACTCGATGCACCCCCGACCGAGCTCGTCACCGGCGATGGCTTCCACACTGGCCGGTTCGGTCACCACGCTGTCCGTGCCATGGCTCCTGGACCCATGGACGTGTCGTGCACGTGTGGCGCTCCGCTCTCCTGCCACCACCGTCTCCGCTCACCTAGTGGCGCTCCGCTCCTGCCATCGAGTTCTCCACGCTGATGCGGCGTGGTCCACAGCGACTACTCTGGCATGGTGTTCTCCACCACACCCAGCTGCCCGCTTGCTGCAATCCTCCCTAGCGCCGCTTGCTGGCTACCACAGTTCCCCACTAGGTAGGTCATGGCCGCTGGCGATATCGTGTCTTCAAGTGTGTTAGATGTATGTTTTCAACTGTTTCGTCTGGATGTTGCGTATACTGCAACGGCTATATACGCATGTTGCAAGCGTATGTTTCAGGTGTTTCAAATGTATGTTTCAAGTGATTCATCTGGATGTTGCAGAAGTAGATCTGGATGTTGCATAACATGCATGTTGCAAGCGTATTTTTTTTAAATGTTTCAGGTGTTTCATACGTATGTTGTAAGTGTTTCTGGATGTTGCATATATTTGTAATGTTTTTTCAAGTGTTTTGCAAGTGTTTCAGACGTATGTTTTAGGTGTTTAGATGTTTCGGACGTATGTTACAAGTGTTTTATCTGGATGTTGCAAAAGTAGATCTGGTGTTACACATGTTGCAATGGGACCTACCTGTCGCTAGGGCACAGCCGTCTGCCACTGTGATGCATCTGTGGCGCACGTCCATAGGCGGGCGTGTGGATTCCTGCGTGCGTGAAATGGAGCAGGCATGGGCAGGCCCTACATATGCGCAGGAAGCGGAGGGGCGCGGCACGGGAAACGGAGCGGCGTTAGTGGCGCAGGAAACGAAGCAGCACGGGGCGATCTACGCCTGTGCGAGCGAATCCCGCGTATGTGCGGGCTGGGACTGGGGGAAGCGTCCGGACGCGTCCTGCGCCGAACGTCCGGGCGCTAGCTGCCCTGAAGGTATAAGTCATGTAGGCAGTCATCAATTGAGACTACAAATCTCCCACGGCAGGATGTTCTTCTTAAAAAGTAACTTAAGCTTTTGTCAGACTTTTGTTTAATGACCTTGCTGACAAACCATGGAAGCATGTGATGAGGTTGCTGCTGCTTTGGTCACAACACGAATTTAGTTTGGTGCCTCAACCTTTTGTCAGGTGAAGCAACTGCTGCGTCTGCAGGCTAATCTGAACGTCTGTGAAACCACCAACGTGAGTGATCTGGACTCTCTGTGCCGACGTGGAGGCTGGGGCTAACAGCCAGCCTGTGGCGGTGGGGCTGCTCTGAGGGGAGATGGGAGATATTCATAGCCAAAAAAAAAAAAGAGCTATTGAAGATCTGCTGGAGCAAGAAAAAACTGCATTCCCTAAGATGGGGGGATAAGGGACCATATTGGAATACTGCTGAGGTTCTTACTCCTAACTGCTTACCGCATTCGAGCTGCGAATCATGCCAAGAACCTTCGGTAAGAAAAGCACAAACACGGACACAAATAAGGGATATATACATATGCACATACATCAGGAATTTAGGATATATACAGGACAAACAAACTG